TGACTTGGCGCACCATACGGTATGGACCCGAGTACGGTGAAGTCAGCTTTTCGCACAGGCCAACTCGCCGCGACGGCGTCCAGAGAAGGACTGTGTCACCTTGACTGAAGTGGACATCACGATGGCACGCGTTGTAGACCTGTCGTTGTCGTTCCTGCGAATCGCTCAGACGCCGGCGAGAAATCTCACGTGCCTCTAGAGCTCTAGAAATCACATCGCGGGCATATGCTGACATGTGGCCAACGGCAGGAAGGAGCGTGTCGAAAAGCAACGTAGGTTCTCGTCCGTACAGGAGGAAAAATGGCGAGAAACCTGCAGTGTCATGCCGAGACGTATTATAGGCAAATGTTACAAATGGAAAGGCGGAGTCCCAGTCACGATGGTCAGAAGAAACGTACATGGCGAGCATGTCCGTGATGGTTCTATTTAGCCGCTCCGTGAGCCCGTTGGTTTGAGAATGATACGCCGTTGTGAACTTGTGCTTTGTAGCGCAAAAGTGCAAATGTCTTGGATATCTTGTGATAAAAAGTAGCGACCCCGATCGGTAAGCAGTTGCCGAGGAGTGCCGTGGTGTAATATGACGTCTTCTAGAGGAAAGTCAGCGACGTCGGTCGTACAACTGGTAGGAAGGGCCCGTGTGATGGCATACCGAGTGGTGTTATCCGTGGCGACTGCTATCCACTTGTTTCCGCTGGCCGATAAAGGAAACGGTCCTAGTAAGTCAACACCTACCCTATAAAATGGTTCGGATGGGATCTGAATGGGTTGAAGGCGTCCCGCTTTAAGGGTTGCTGGTTTTTTGCGGTGTTGACAGGATTTGCATGAGGCGACGTAACGGCAGACGGATCGGTAAATACCGGGCCAAAAGAAGCGACGTCGAACGCGGTCATAAGTTCTTGAAACTCCCAGGTGACCAGCTGTTGGAATATCATGCAACTGTGCAAGGACAGTCTGACGCATATGTTGTGGTATGACCAACAGCAGCTCAGGTCCGTCAGGATGCATGCTGTAGCGATATAAGACGCCATCTTGGAGCAGGAACATACGGAGAGACAGAGGGCTTGTGGGACCACTAAGCTGAAGGATTATATCTCTGAGGTGAGGATCACGGCGTTGCTGATCTCCGATGTTGCTAAACGCGGAAAGTGCCAAAACGCAAGTAGACTCGATCGCTCTCAGAAAGGTCTGCTGGGTCTACTGGATGACGCGACAAGCAATCAGCATCCTCATGGTGGCGACCTGATTTGTAGGCAACCGTGTAGGAATATTCCTGTAACCGTAGAGCCCACCGGCCGAGACGTCCACTAGGATCTTTTAAGGGCGACAACCAGCATAAGGCGTGGTGATCAGTGACAACCGTGAACGGGCGTCCATACAAATACGGCCGAAATTTAGCCACTGCTCAGACGAGTGCGAGGCATTCGCGTTCTGTGATGGAGTAATTTCGCTCTACTGGCGATAAAAGACGGCTAGCGTATGCAATAACGCGCTCGCAGCCATGCTGTCATTGTGCCAAAACGACTCCGCTTCCGTGGCCGCTGGCGTCAGTACGCACTTCCGTTGGAGCGCATATATCAAAGTGGCCGAGAATGGGTGGCGTCGTAAGTCTGCTCGTCAGTTCAACGAATGCTCAGGTTTGTTCAGATCCCCACACAAAAGTCACATTTTTTTTTTGTAGTTCGGTGAGCGGTCGTACGACGTCAGCAAAATTCCGCACAAATCTACGAAAGTAAGAACAAAGGCCCACAAAGCTTCAAACATCGTTCGCAGAGGTTGCCACAGAGAAATCTTTGACGGCACGGATTTTCTCAGGATCGGGACGAACACCAGAAGAATCGACAAGGTGTCCAAGGATAGTGAGCTGCCGGCGGCCGAAGTGACATTTCGACAAGTTTAGTTGGAGCCCTGCTTTGCGGAAAACCGAAAGAATTGTTGAGAGACGCTCTAGGTGAGTTTCGAAAGTTGGCGAAAAAGCAATGATGTCATCAAGGTAGCATAAGCAGATTGACCACTTCAAACCGTGAAGAAGAGCGCCCATCATTCGTTCGAATGTAGCCGGGGCATTGCATAACCCAAATGGCATTACTTTGAACGGATAGAGCCCGTCGGGAGTTATAAATGCCGTCTTTTCACGGTCCAGATCATCAACTGATATCTGCCAGTACCCAAAACGAAGGTCGATGGAAGAGAAATAATTTGCTCCACTAAGGCAGTCAAGAGCCTCGTCTATCCGCGGCAGAGGATACACGTCTTTTTTGTAACCTTGTTAAGATTTCTCTAGTCGACACAGAAGTGCCAGCTGTTATCCTTCTTTCTCACAAGCACAACGGGCGAAGCCCAAGGACTTGAAGAAGGTTCAATGATGTCTCGGGCAAGCATCTTGTCGACTTCTTGCTGGATCACGTGGCGCTCGGTGGAGGAAACTCGATAGGGTCGCTGTACTGGATTTGCATCACCGGTGTTGATCCGATGCTTTACGACGGTCGTTTGACCTAGGGGTCGGTCGCAGAGATCAAAGACGTCTTGATACGACACAAGAAGGCCACGAAGCGCAGGCACATGCTCGGTCAGGAGATCAGAGGCAATCATTCCAGTTATGCAGTCAAAGTGTACTGCACGACTGAATACTTGCAGATGACGGTGTATCCTCTGCTAAGGCCGATATGTGGTAGTCGCCGGCCGGAGCAAGAGTTGCAAGGGATATTCCTCGTGGCAGCACTTCAGAGCAAAGTCCAAAGTTCACAATAGGGAGACATGCCACGTTGTTCTTCATTGTGATGATGGTGTGGGGGAACGCAACATTGAGCGAATGAGTACTGTAGGATTAGGTGAAATGACATAATCGCCGTCAGCCACAGGTGGATCAGAAGAGACGTCGATATACGTCACAGCTCGACAAGATAGGCGAACAAAATCGACGGAGCATAGCTTTGGCGGTGCAGGATCAGGAGGGTCAACGGCGTGTGGTAGGACGAGCTGAACAACACCAGCAGAACAGTCAATTAGGGCGGAATGCTCCGACAGAAAATCGAGTTCCAATATGATTTCATGTGGGCAGTGGTCCAGTACGTAAAACAGAACAGTGGTATGACGTCCAGCAACAGTGACACGGGCGGCACACATCCCGGTGACTGCTGGTGTTGCACCATCAGCTACTCGGACAAGAGTGATCGGAGCAGGAGTGAGCACTTTCTTGAGTCGAGCACAAGGGCTGGAGTTCATGACTGATATGTGACCGCCGGTGTCAATGAGTGCTGCCACAGAAGTACCGTCAAGATTTGCTTTAATCAAGTTGTTGTGTCCGGGTATCGTGTGTAGAGGAATTTTGGGTCGGGTCGTCGAAGCAGGCTCACCTCTAGGAGCTGCGCCCGTCAGTTTTCCGAGGACTGGTGGTAGGAGGGTGAGGGGGAGCGACGTCAGTTAGTTGAGCGGGACATGCGTCCAGAGGGTGACGGGGAGCGGCTTGGTTGGGCGGGCCTGGATGGCGAAGCATCATCTTGTGCCGTGTAGATCGGCATTCGAGAGCCAGCAGGTGGGCGTCGGGTGTTGGCATAATGCGACCATGGCTGCCAACCCCAGGAAGTGCGGCAATGGCGTGAAATATGGCCCACTCGTCCACAGTTGAAGCAGATCGGCCTGTCATCGAAAGTTCGCCATTCTGCCGGGTTCCGGTAACGTGGGCGGTTGTTCGGTCCGCGGGACATATTAGGTGTACTGGGCAGTCGGTAGTCAAGTCGGTTAACGGGGCATAGCGTCTGAAGTCCGGGGTTGGCCAGTTCCTGGCGTACGACACTCTTGATTAAAGAAATTGTGGCGCGAGAGTCGTCAGGAGCCTGGACTTGGTCAGACAGGGGAGATACTGCCTCGATTTCGTGGTGCACGATGCGCACAATATTGTCGGAAGCAGCAGGGGCTGGGGCCAAATGGGCGTCCCCGCAGGTTGATGTTGCAGCCGTGTTGGGAAGACGCGAAAAGTGTGGAGTGATACGGCGACTTTTCGCGTCTTCGAAGCGTCGGCATTCATTAACAACGTCGTCTACGGTCGATGAGTTTCGAAATACGAGGAGATTGAAGGCGTCATCGGCGATTCCTTTGAGGATGTGCGCGACCTTTTCAGATTCCGGCATCTTGTCATCAACCTTCCGGCAGAGGGCGAGCACATGTTGTATGTAAGTGACGTACAACTCGGTGCCGGATTGGAGTCGGGACACTAGTTCTTTCTGCGCAGCATGACGACGCCCGATGGGCTTGCCGAAGAGATCGATGAGTTTCTGCTTACAGATGTCCCAACTCGTGATACCTTCTTCGTGGTTGGAAAACCAAACTTTAGCTGTACCATCAAGGTAGAAAATAATATTGGCCAACATGAGCGTCGGATCCCAGTTGTAAAGAGCGCTCACCCTTTCGTACAGCTGAAGCCATTCCTCCATGTCAGTACTGTCACTGCCCGAAAATGTGCCTGGGTCACGCGGTTGAGTCAGGACGATGGTGCGGTTAGTAGCAGCTGGATGCGGTGCTGTTGGTTGCTGTGTGGTTGGACGAAGCACGGTTGGGGTAGTCTCCGAAGAATCCTCGTGTTCGTCTTGATCAGGCATCGCACAGGCAGCCAAGGAACGTCCGCTGTGTTGACTGTGGGAATACCGGCACTCTCCACCAAAATGTTACGGGTAGAAGGCGTCTGAAAAATGCCTTTACTTTTGGTAAACAGGCAGGCATACAATATGGAGCCCGGTCTGCACGAGCTCGCCCTAAACATCGTGCTCTTTTGTACAATGTTCATTTGTGGTACCCCGTAGCAATATTAATTGCAACAAAACAAGAAAAGGAAGGGATCTATACAGCTTTTTTTTACATAAGCTTGTCTAATATAGCTGATGCATTGATTGCCCCCTCGTGTTATTTTAAATATTCCTAAAGTTGCGCTCTCCTTCATCATGGCATTTCGGTGGTGAACATTCAAGCATGCTAATCTACATGGCACGTGTTCTCTGTGCAATCAGGATCAGTTAGCCTCGGAGAAGGAGTTCGAGCTGCTGCGTGAACGGAAGGCACGTGAGGCGGAGGAGGAGCTTCGACGTTCAGTCCAGGAGCGAGAAGAGGCTTTGCAGGCACATGTCCGTCAGCTGGAGAAGGAGCGTGCCGAGGTCGAGCAGAGGGTCACAGCCCTCACCCTGAGCAACGAGCAGTACGAACAGGTGAGACATTGCTGCACATGGGGGCACCCCCATGACACTAGGATGGCAGGTGTAGTTTCTTACCTCAAGAGGCAGAAAGAACCCACCAGCCATCTTGGCTTTCTCTTATTTTGCACCCATTAAGCCTTTACATTGGTGAATGCATGGGAGGCTACCGTATATACTTGTCTATAAGCCACCCTCTCTGTACACTTACCCCTCCCCTCCTTTAGGACGCAAAAATTTTAAAAAAGGACAAAAATGTACCGAAGCTATGGCTTCAAAAACAGTGCACAGTGGCAGGCTTGCTTGCCATTGTGCCTCAGTCTCAAAGGCCATCCAGTGCATTGTTGGGGAGTGTGCTAACCGCTTGAAATGTCGGTTGTCTTGTGTGCACTGCTTCACTCTTATGTGTTGTGTAGCAAAGAACGATCAACTCTGGAAGTGGGCCGATGAGGTTAGTAAATGAAGTTCATATTTGTCAGAAGTTTTCTAAAATTATCCATCACAGTAGTTGCAGTGGCGCTATAGTGTGTTGGTGTGTAGCAATAGGTCGAATTCATATATAACCTGCACCCGAGCGAGATTTGTTGAAAAGTGCAGCTTATACATAGTATGTATGGTATCTATGCTCTTAACCATGCAAGCCAGGGGGAAGATGTGCGCTCACATACACCTACATTGTTTGCATATTGTGCACCTCTAGAGTTGACTATACTCAGGAAGCAGCTGTGCGAAGGCTTCTGTTAAGATGGCTCTCTTGGCACGGGACGTGAGGCACCCAAATTGCGGTTGTGGTCGGCACGACGCTGTAGGGCCCTGGCAAGCCAACTGGTGACTTCCTGGCAAGCCACGACAGCCAATGAAGCCTTGGATGCAATGGGCCCATTAAGTTGGCGCACTCCAAACTCCAAAGGAGCATGCTCGAATGTGCTCAAGTGCAACGCCTTCGGAGCTTAGGCAACATTTCTGCTGACTGCTTTCAGAGGCAGCAACGCATCACATGGCGAATGCTATGTTGCTTCGACAGTAAGACTCAGGGGAGAAGGAGAACACATTTTTTTGGAGGAGAAACAGAGTTAGGAACAGGTATTTTCCTGAAAACTGTCCCAGGCCTGAGCTTTCATGCACCATCTCATATTCACGCACAAGAAGTCGCTTTGTAATTGTTAATTTTATAAAAGTGCACCCGGCCAATGCGAGCATGCTGGAGCTTCTTATCAAGCTTTTGGTGCGAACTTTCTTATTTCTTTACAAATTTAGATGAAAGTTGGCAGACTTGTTGGAAAATTTTTTTAATGATGCTATTGAAATTTCATGATTATATCTTCACAACTTTTTGATGTACAACATATTTTTTTTATGGAAATTGTCGCGCATTTGATCAGACAAACACAGGAAGATAACAGAGTGAACTGAAAAAGCGCAATTTTTGAATTGCACTCTTTCCGTTCACTCTGTCCTGCAACTCATTTCGTTCACTCTGTCCTTTTCCTGTGTTCATCCGGTCGAATGCATAGCAATTTCCATCGAAGTTATGCACTAACTCGCCCAACAAGAAGTTCTAAAATATATTTCTTCTTTTAGTCTTGTTCCAAGGCTGACTCGCTTAATAAAACCAGAAGTACACCGGCACCCAGGGTTCGTGTTCTGATTTGTGTAAACAGAACTTTCTTATTGTTGTCAATACGTAGAATTAGTTGTGTCTTCTGATTTGTGTAAACAGAACTTTCTTATTGTTGTCAATACGTAGAATTAGTTGTGTCTTGTGCTGATGCCGGTTTCCAACCGTCCCAAACTACATGAAGTGTATTAAAATGGCTAGAAACGTTTTATTTGATGCACTGAAATACAAGGCCAAGTCCATTACCCAGTCCATATCTTGACTCTCTTCTTGATGGCAGGCTCACATATGACTTAGATGACAAGCTTCAATTCTTGGTGTGAGCACTGACAAGCTAATTTTGCATCTTGTTTTTCTTTTTTTGTTTCAATGGGTAGCTTATAACAACTAGTTGCGTCTTGCATTTGCTCGAGCACGTGATGCTTTATTATTTATAGACGTTTTTAGAGCGCCCAGTACGGTTTCAAAAAGCACTGGACTTGGAAGGAGCAGTCCTGATTGTCAGGTAAACGCCACTGATGATGTGATTGCACTAAACTGTGACAAGACCCCCGCACTGAATGTGAGCCTGCTACGTCTACATGCGCTGGGGAATGCCTTGGTCGTAATCCTGGAGCCAATGCGGCAATGTCAGCAGATGGGGTGTGTAACATCTGGCAATGGGCACGATAAGCGAACAGCGGTAGCGAGCACTGACAGCTCACACAAGCCCGCAGGTACTGAGAGGTGCGTGCGAGCAATGGGCCAAGAGAAACTCGTGACTTAGGAGTTGTTTATGCAAAAACCCTGTTAATGTCAATGTTGTGAGGTGCTTCAAATCTCGCTCAGTCGCATGGCACGCACTTTAAAATTTATTTTAGTTATGTTCCAGACTATATTTGCCTTTGATGTTTCGCAGATATTGTGTGTGTCTCCACACAAATTTACATCATTTGTTGTCTCACCTTGGATATTTTGTGTCAGTACTACTTTATTAACTGCTTTAGAAGATCCAATGGTGCAAACTCCACTCATATCAGCTTAAGAACACTTAAAAAAGTAGATATTATTATGAATTTAAAGCAGCAAGTGCAGTACTGTAGGAGTACAGCTTGGGCACACTTTCGACATGGCACTGTATTGGCAGCTTCGTCAAACTTTCGACAGATGGCAGCAAAAACGCAGGAGGTTTTTAGAGACTCATACTTAGCGTGGAAGTGTGTCAAGATTGAACTGCTACTGCTGCTGCCTGTGTGCATAGTGTTTGCGAAACTAAGCCAAACATACCTTTTGCTTGTGATAACTAGATTTACAATAGTTAACCCTCAGCCAGTTGAACCTGGTCACAGTAACAAAGAAAAAAGTGAATGGTCATATCGGTGTTGTCAAAACTGCTGATATTAAATGTGGGTATTTATTGTACTTTATGTAATCTTCCTCTGTCTTCGTTGGGTCTGGCTTCACACAGTGCTCTGTTTCAGTCATTGGGGTTGGTACTCGAGCAGCTTATAGTTATGAGGGCAGTAACCATTACTAATCAGTACGGTCTCTCTCATTTTATTTATCTTTTTTTTACAGAAGTTGAAGGAGAAGGACAAGGAACTAATACGCATTAGACAGCTGAACGAAGAGCAGAGAAAAGCTGACAAAGAGGTTCACAGGTGTGTCTATTCTTTCATTGTCGATATAGGCCTGTGCTAACATTTGACCACCCATATGCAAAAGCATACTTACAAAATCAGTTTCAGAATTCCACAATGGCAGCATTATAATACAGTCGAATTTCACTAATTCGAACACACTTAAGAGGGCAGACTGGTCTTAGACATTTTTTGTTTATTTCTTCAGTGATTATGATCAAACTACACAGGATTATGCAGTTTTTTCTCCCGATTTCAAATATTTAAATAGTTTTTCTGTAACTCACCTTGTTCCTGAGATAACTTAAGTTCACCCCCTATTTTTAAAGGCCACTATAGAAAAAAAGATGCTTTATTAAAAGTGATATTTAAGATGTGCCAGCATACGCTGATGACTATACAGTGAAATTATGCAAGTGTTTTTTTTTTTTTTAGACCATTCTTGGTTATTTTACAGCAAAGGGAACTGCCTATGTTCAAAAGCAGTTGGAATTGTATTACAATTATGATGAGTAAATAATTAAAAAGGCTTGTGCTTTCAATTTTGCTCCCATACTTGCATTCTACACACATACAGGTTTCCATTGCAAAAAGAATTATTGTTGTGCGTGCCCTAGCTGCAGAGATATTGAGGCCTCAAAATTTAACAGTCGCAAATTTACTTTTTTGAGAAAAATGAAAAAAGCTGAAAACACACAGCTTCCTCAAAAAGCAACAATCATGGTGCGCATGTTTTGCAATCTTCATAAAGGTGCTCATAAATTTTTTTGCAGGTTCTCCATGTTAACAGCACCAAGAATCCGGACAGTTATAATGACTTTACAAAAAAATTACCAATTTTTGGTGTGTGGAAATATGCACAGATATAGAAAAATACTTGCAGAAACCAAATATGTTAATTTTAAAAAGGAATTTTTTTGTCACTTATTGGTCCCAAAGACCAGTCTGCCCCCTTAATTCGAACTTCCGGTTAATTCGAAGTCACGATGAGGTCCCGTCAAAGCTATGTGTATTCCAATGGGCGAAAAATGCCCGGTAATTCGAACGCGCAAGCATTTGCGAGGGTTAATTCGAACATATCGCGCTTCGGAAATCCTCTCAGCACCCCGCGCAATCCCGCGGTGGCACCTCTGACACCTCAACGCTGCGCGCAAAGGAAGGGAAAAGGAAAGAAAAGGCTGCAGTGGAATGTTTGCGCCCTCTCAAATGCCGATCTGCAACGGGCCTGTACCACGCTTCTTTCTTTTCTGATCCTGCTACGTAAAGACCCTTCTCCTTCCAACACCGAGCGCAAAGACAGAGAAAAAAAAAAAAAAAAAAAGCTGCCGCGGAGTGTGGCTCTCTCTCACGTGCTGGTGCGACGCTTCCCCCTTTTCTGTTCCTGCCACGTAACCCTTCTCCTTTCAACGACGCGCGCGAAGAGAGAAAAAAAAAAAAGCCGATCTGCTTCTCTTCGCGTGGAGACCCTCCTCCTTTCTCGTCGCAGGCTGGCCACGCTGCGGCTTTGGCTCAGAGGGTAGTAGCGGAGATGCAGTCGTTGTTGTCCTCCTCTTTAGAGAGTGTCGTCGCAGGAGAATGCTGAAGCCCAAGCAGACATGCTTTGCCAGATGCAAGTGAAATTGATTGACTTGCTGCAAGGCAAATGTGTGCAGACGCCCATCACCAATCACTTCAATTAATGATGGATGTCCTGTGATTTGTGAATAAATGTAAGTCTTCTAAAACTTCCCCCTCGTGTGTTAGCTCAATGCACATGCGCCACTGCATGGAGAGCCCTCTGTTTACATAGCTTTCATTAATTCGAACTTCTTGTAATTCGAACAAATTTTCGGGCCCCTTCGAGTTCTAATTGTCAAGATTCGGCTGTATTTACTTCTGTAATGATCACGTGTTTCATCTACTGAATCGTGAAGATTTGAGATATTAAAGAGAAGAATTTGAAGTACTGAGAAACTAAACAAGTGCTTGCAATGGCTACTTCTGCCGAAACCATAGAGTCATATTAAAGAAGACCTGCCTTTGTAACAAATGCACAAATTTGCTATGTATTGCCTGAACTGCATCATGGGAAATATCCAGCACGTTCGCTGCACTTCATGAAAATTATAAGCCCCATACCTGCCAAGTTTCCCAGATTGTCCGGAAGGCTTCCTTATTTCTACTGTTTCTTCCATTTGTATGGTTGTCATGAAAACCTCCTGGAAATCGAAATTTCTTTGTGTGATCTAACCGCATTGACAAAAATTCACTCCAGGCTTTTTGCAATACCGCCAAATTTTATTATAAACGAATTTAGGAGGCGTTTGTGGTGTTAACGTGGGTTCAGGATTCGCTCCAGAAAGAATAACGCAGCATGCAGGTGGACAAACACGCGTGAGACACCTTTACAGACATTACGATGGGACTCAACGAACAGAGAAGAACAGTTAAATTTGACATGAGGGCTGTTACGCGAAATAGTCAAGCAGTAGCGTACAGTTTGTTGTCGGAGCCGATGAAGTTGCCGAGTTGGAGGCGCTGTGTGTAGACCATCTGTCCGATGCCGTAGCTCGGTGTTTGGTCTGGCCGCGTGAAGTCAAGGTCCACTCTGTGGCTGTTGATGCCGGGACTCTGCGCCCAAGGGACCCGCTCCACGGTGGACGCCCTCGACCTGTGCGTGCTTGTGGGCCGAACCCTGAGTGAGCCCGTCTGCCTACAGCATCAAGACCTTGGCCCGGCCTCGTGCACGTTTTCTGGCCCGATCTCCTCGAAGCGGAACAGGCAGGAGCGCTCTAAGTCGAGGCAGCAGGAGACAGGGCTCCGGGACCGGACGCCCAGCGAGGGAGAGCCCAGCCTTGCAATTTCGACTCCCGTGCACGGCCCACGCTGTCTCGAGATACGCCGCGCACACGATCGCCGTCCTCTTCGCCACCGCATGGCACATACGCGATTTTCCACCGCACGGTGCACACATTCAAAAGGCCACACAAGTCGCCACCGCACGGCGTACTGTTTTGTTTTTGCACATTTCAACCCGCGCGCACCATATATTATGACAGCATTCATTTAAGCGTACAGTAGAATCTCAGTGATGCGAAATCGCGGCAGATACGAATTCGTGAAATTCGCCAGCCAAGTTCCAGTGTCATTAGGCCAAAATTTGAATGTTCCGAACACTTTTCTTAATCTTGCGGCGGGTGATATGAAGATTAGTAACGAAATGGTCGAACGAAGGCCGGAGCAGCATGCTCAAAGCTTCGGAAGTATGCGCCCTTGCGGCACCCGCACTCTTTTATAGTGCATGTGGTTGTTGTTGGCACAACCACTGGGGATGAAACCGCAGTCGTTCTTGAAACGATCATGTATGACGAGGACATAACTGACACAACACTGAAAATGTGCGCACGATCAACACTCGACCAGTCAAAGCAGTGCTGCTTTCCGCAAACTATGTTGACAAAACCACGGCAGATGCGATGATAGATAGTATAAACCGATTTAGTTTTGAAGGCACGTGCGCAGGCAGCGCCCGCGGATTGAAAACGGAACAACTGCTTGCCGCAACTGCCGCGTACGTAACCGCGATTGCGGCAATGGGGTAGCGATCTACGCGCTTTGGGGGCACGCGGATAGCGCAGCATTAGATTAAAGGTAGAAAAGACGTATAAAGGGTTAGGAGCGCTTTGACGTTCCTGTCCAAAGAATCTAGTCGCGAGCAAAACTTTGACCCCGCTTTCACGGCAGCCAGCTGCCTCGTCCGTTGACGTGTCCCAGGAAGATATACACGAGTTGTTTTGACGAAAATAGATTTTTCTAGTTGTTTTGATGATGTGAAATTAACGGGAATACTTGCGCTCCCTTTTTGAGCTAGACTGTCAGCTTAGTGGGAAACTATGCGCTCTTGTGTTTGGCCACTCCAAGCCATTATGAAATTGCAACGCCCATGTTTACGCTTGCGATTGGGACCTCCCCTTACTTGTCTTGTTTTTCGCGATGTTCCTGTTTTTATTTTGGTGAATAAAAAACGGGGGTAAATAGTTCAGCACAACCCCCCCCCCCCCCTTCCACCCATTGTTGCGGAAGTCTCCCGGGTTCAGAACCCTTGAACTTGGCAGGTATGAAGCCCATTCAGTCAGGAACAGAAACGCGTCAACTTTGCATGGCCTAATTCCAAGGCACTCAGTATTACATTGAAAGAAAAAAAAATGAAGAAATGTGTTGTTTTGTCTCAGTTTTAGCAACTAAAAATAAGGAGTGTGGAACTCATTATCTAATTATTCTGCCATCAGTCAGCTTCAGTACTTGCATAAAAAGAATCAAATACATTCGATCCCAGATATATCGAACTCAAAAGGGATTGCAAAATAGTTCAATATACCGATAACTCGATATACAAAATACGTGCATTTAAAGCCTAAATTAAAGCATTTTAGGCTGTGAAAATCGTTACAAGTGCTGACATAACGACTCGCTCACAGTATTATGAAGAACAAGGTATGAACTGCAAGTTAACGCACTTTATTTCTCATGAAAATAGTCCGTAAACTTGTCTTGATTCTTGCGTGCCATCAGTTCCAGTCATCCTCAATATCATTGGAGCTTTTCAAATAAGTGAATTCAGCTCCTTCAGCCACAACAGCGTTGGTTGACGCAGAACGCCGATGCAAGCTTTATAGCTCAGCAAAAGGTTGGTTAACAGTGGCAGCGAAGGCTGTGGCATATTGTCACTGGTTCGTGACATGGACGAAGAGAGCAGACTGGATGTTCAGGTTAAACGGTTTATTGGGCCGAGCTTGTGGCCACATAAAAGGAAAGTCAGCAAAATTGCAGTAAGACACTGGCACTGATAGCAAGGTGAACAGAGCGTCGGCTTTCGATTAACTGACAAGCGGTGAAGCGCGGCGGCATTTACACACGGGTTGTCGAATATTCTAGCGTTATCTCCAGCGGCCACGTATGTTCCAGAATAATTTGCAATGTTCGCGAAGTGGGCGTGATCTTAACGAAATGATCTACTACAGTCCCGAAGCTTCTCCAACACT